GGGGGGGGGGTGCGGCAGGCGGAAGGGGAGGAGCAATCCAAAGAGAAATTCCCCAGCTGGGTGTGTGAAAGTGAAAGAGGGTAACCAGTCGTCCTTCCGCACCCTGCAGGTCCCAAGAGGGGGTGATCCAAATCCTTGGTTCCACCACCCTCCTTTCCTGCCCTCTCTCCCTGGACAGACTAGCGGAGTTTCTGCTGAGCTCAGAGTCCTTTACTTCCTCCAAAAAGAGCGGGACCTGCGTTGGGCACTAATTTGAATCCAGGTGCTGGTGGAGGCGCACAGCAGCGCACAGCACAGTCGGTGAGTGCAGCCGGCACTGGGGTGGACGCAGTGCAGGGTGGACGCGGGAGCACCGGAGCCTCCTAGACTAGGAGGGAGAAGTGCTGGGGGCCCCGGGACCAGGACCCGGCAGGCAGCACTGCTCAGCCACGAGTTCTAGTTCAGTGCTGATTCATGTCCTGCAATGTGCATGTGGGCGCGAGCGGGGTGTGGTGCTGGGATGAGTCTTGGGGCTAGTCTCGGTACTCTCGATCCTTCCCTCAGGAAAGTCAAGAACAGAGGGAGGCAAGAGAAAAATAGAAGAAAAGAAGGAGGAAGGGAGAGAGATAGAGAAAGATGGAGAGATTGAGAAAGAAATCCCGAAGGGGAGCTGTCAGGTGGGTTGGAGAGGGAACTCAGGACAGGCTGTATCCCTTTATTCCTTTACAGTAGGAAGTCAAGGTAAGTAGAACCTTGACTTTCGCCTGTAAAACAGAAGAGGAAATAGAATAGCTAAGGGCACTTTATATTTTTTTAAACTTTTTATTGTTTCAGGTTCACTGAGGGTACAAAGAGTTAGCGGGGAGAGGGGAGGAAGGCGGCGATGGGAGGGCACTTTTTATTTTGATATAACAAGGTTCAGTCCAGATACCTGAAACAAGGTGTGAAGGGGAAAACTTCCGAGGTCTTTTCTTAACGTCTTGCCCCTTTCCACTGCGATTGCTCAAGCATCTGCCAGTGGACTACAAAATTTATGTTTCTTTCTTCCCACATTACTTTCATTTTTAAATCTATATCTATTAGTCACGTCTGAAGTATGTCTATATGCTCCCCCAAACTCCATTAGATGAGTCATAACACAGGGAACCCCCTAATTTTCTTAATTGTTGGGCAGTTGTTGTCGCTTTCAAAGATTTTACAGCATAGCTCAGTTCCTTAATGATGTATCTGTTTTTGTTTCCCCAGGTTCTCTGCTGTTTAAAAGGTGTCCCTGTGGTGAGTGTACTGATACTGATAAATATGGCCAGCTTGGACTTTATTGGGTGACCTATTACTTGGCAAGCACTGTCCTAAAGGCTCTGCATGTGTTATACTTTTTAATCTTCATGACAGTGAAGGTTGATTCTAACTGTGGTGATTTCAGAGAGCCCCAGCCCCTTTGGGGCTTCCTCTGAGCGCCACTAGCAAGCAGCCCCCAGAAACCGAAAGTACTTTGCCCCAGCTGACCCCCAAAGAGAAAAATAACCACCAGCAGCAGAACCAGTGGGAAAAGAGGAAGTCAGACAGCAGTGTCAGTTTAACAGGAAATGTAATTTTTTTTTTTTTTACCAACCTGTAGTTCAGTTCTTCTGAGTCTAGGAACCCCTTACAATCTTTCCTCTGGGTACTTACTCCTTGGGCTCCAGCCTTGCTCCATCTGCTTCTAAAGTTTATGCATTTCTAATGTTATATCTCATAATAGGTCCCACAATTCCATTTTTAACTGTACGCATGGGTGGTAGCACATGGAAATGGTATTGCAGTGGGGGACTCCATGGCAACAGTCAGTTTTAGGGTGCCCTACTTAGAACTGCCCCCCTGGCTGTGTTTGGACATTGAGCTCTTGTGATCTAACATGCTCCTGTCTCCGGATCGTACTGTCCAACAGGAGCTCTCGTAGCCGTACCCAAAACCTCGTGGGTCAGACAGTTTCCTGGGTCTCAGCAATCACCTGTTTTTCTTTTCCTCCTCACCTTACCTTCTTACCTTGCTCCCTGTCTGCCCCGACACTAACAAACTCCCATTTGTAAGGCAAACGAGAGAGAGAGTGGTTAATTAATAAGACAAGGTGTGCAGCTATTAAGTGGTGACTTGATATTTGAGCGCAGATGGCCTGTAAGTACCAATGCTGATAGACACTTTGATATTCATTCTCTTACTTAGAAGCATCGGGAAACTAAGCAGTACAGTATGTTTCTTGATCACATAAACAGGAAACTAAGGATCATGGATGTCCTCAGTAGATAAGAAATCCAGGGCTCCTGTCCCATACTGGAATTGTTAAAAGAATACACATAGTCTTTAGCTAACTTCCGGCTTCAGATGCAGGGAAAGATGATAAGATAAACAACAATGGGAGGAAGCAACCCAGGAGGTGGACATCCTAGAGAAGGGACACTCAGTACTCTTCAACAAATCAGTGCCTTAAGAAAAAAAGACCCTGGCTCAGTGCTTATAGCTCAGCAGCTAGGGCGCCAGCCACATACACCAGAGCCGGTGGGATTGCATCCAGCCCGGGCCTGCCAAACAACAATGACAACTACAATAAAAAAAATAAAAAAGCCGGGCATTGTGGTGGGCGCCTGTAGTCCCAGCTACTTGGGAGGCTGAGGCAAAAGAATCACTTAAGCCCAAGAGTTGGCGGTTGCTGTGAGCTGTGATGCCACAGCACTCTACCAAGGGTGACATAGGGAGACGCTGTCTCACAAAAGAAAAAAAAAAGAAAGAAAGAAAAAGGAAAGAAGAAGAGACCCTTTAAAGACATCAGTAAAGTCTTATATACCTCAACTGCACCTTGTTGTGTGAATAAATTAATATGGTGTTTGTATAAGAAAAAGTACTTAATTCGTAGACATGGAATGTATAGCCAGGGTTGAAATGTCATGATGTCTTTAATTGTAAAATAATCTAGTAGAAGATAAAGATGATGTAAATTTGCAAAAAATTAATAATTACTAATTATGATAGGTATGTGTAGGTTCATTATACCATTCCCTATTTTTCTTTTCTGTTAGGAAATGTTCATAATGAAAAGTCTCAAAAGTATACCCTCTGGAGTTTCATGACCTTAAGAAAAAGTTTAACCTCTCTGTTCAAGTTCTTTATCTTGTGAACAATAATCTAATATCTAAGTAGAGCAGTAATCCCTACCTTACAGGGTTGTGCAGATTACATCAGGTAGTTTATGAAAAGCTCTGAGAACAGGGCAGAGTGCACCATCTGCCTCCTGCATTCGCTCAGTGAATGCATCTCTATAAACGCAGCTGGACTGAGGGGCTGCCACGCGCCAGATGTTGTTTTAGGTGTGAGGCACTAAAGACAGAAGCGGCTGCTGCCCCCACCAGGATTGCTCTTTCTCGTGGTGTTCATCACCATAGGGGATTTCACCATTTTATTTAAATTGTTTGTTCTCTTCTAAGGAGACATTGGAGGAAAGAGGAAAAAATATCTCTCTAAACAAAAAAACTGAAGACAGCTAACTAAGTTTTCTTGCTATCAACCTGGAGCAAACATTTCACATTTCTGTTTGAAATCTCATTCCAAATTTGTTGTGTCATCTGTTCCTATGCAGTTCTATCCCCTCCCATTTCCCTGTCATTTTCCCATCCCTTGCCATCTCCATCTTCAGTGGCAACTGGATTGAACAGCAATGTAAATAGAACACCTCTGTGAATTCTCCCACTGCAGACTCTTCCATGGGGTACTGTGCTCACATTTGGATTCTAGCTGTGCCATGTAGCTCTGGCCTGGGGCTGGAGCTGCCTTCTCTAACCTACACTTTTCCCATCTGCAAAATGCACACACACCTACATTCCATGGAATCTGTGGGATTGGCGATTAAAGGTAATTTTTGTTAAGTGTTCATGGGGGATTGCCTGACAAGTAGTTTTGTGTACAAGAGAGTTATTATCATTGGGGTGATTAGAGTTGATGAATAACCTCCTTGCTAACGTAACATCTGCAGAGAGAGTGAGACTGGAGCTCAAGGGAAAAGGTGGGACATGAGACTCCTGTCCATCTTTTTCCTCTATACAATTAGTGATAGCCACAAAGAAACTGCTATAACTTGAAACTTTTTGACATTAGTGTCTCGGCTGAGCCACCTCTTTCTCTTCAAGCCATCATGAGCGACAAGAAGCACAGATCACAGATCCCGTTTGATGCAAAGAATAACAAGAAAATCAAGGACTATTTTTCACAGGTATGTCTGTACATTCTATTTATGGACTAGTTATCCCTGGGTGCTCATTGGGGATTGGTCCCAGGACCTCCGTCAGATGCAAAATCTATGGCTTCCCTGATGATTATTAAATACATAAATATTAACTCATCAAAATGCTTTTTAACAAGATTAAGGACATCTTTTAAAAACTCTGCAGGGAATGTCATATTAAATAATAAGTCATTATAAGCATTTCCTTTACAATCAGAGAAAATAGGGGAATGCTCACTGTTTTTCCTTTATTTAGCTGGTGATTATATAATTGCCACTGCATCACACTCTACTAGTGATTCTAGCCAATGTAGTCAGATAAGAAAAATAAATAAAAAGTAGTATTTCAGAAGTAAAAAATAAGGAATAGAACATATTCATGAAATATTCATAGATAATATTATCACCTGTTTTGGAAACCAAAAAGATGTATAGATGAAATATTAACTTGATTGTAATTTAGCAAATTGGTTAGGCTTAAGAGTAATATTTATTAAAAGACAGGTTTAACTTAGTCTATAATAATCAGAAAATATACTATTCCAAAAATTATTTTGTAATACCTAGACAAATATCAATTATGTATGAAAAAGATTTACAGATTTACAGATTCTTTACAGAATTTTTTATGGATTTACAGATTTACAGATTCTTTATGGAAAAAATTGTAAACTTTTGTTGAAAACATGAAAGGAGACAAAAATCAATGCCAAGATATAAGATATTCACCAGTAGGAAAACTCAAGACTAGTAAGATATCAGTCCTTCCTAAATTCAATTCTTGATTTAATGCAATCCCAAGGGAAAAATCCAACAGTTTATTTGAAGGCTCTTAACAAGATAGGACAGCAGAAGACCATTAAGAATAAATTGAAAATTGAAATTAAAAAACAGCTCCAATACTGCTTGGAGTCATTTATGTTATATTCATTCACCTGACAAAAAAGAAATAGTTCTTTCTTTAAAAAAAGAAATAGCTCTTTCAGATAAAAAATGCAAATTATAAGCTGTAGTAATTAAGACAGCACTTGGTAAATATATAGAAGAGTATACAGTTGAAACAGAATAGACAGGAAATGTACCCACAAATTATATGAAAATATCTTTGGATTAGTTTGTGCCGTTGTCTGATGTTTGTATCCCCCAAAATTCATATGGATAAATCTTTTTTTTTTTTTTTTTTTTGGTTGCAGCCGTCATTGTTGTTTGGCGGGTCCGGGCTGGGGATTCGAACCCGCCACCTTGGATAAATCTTAACATCCAAGATGATGACATTAAGAGGTGGGGGTCTTTGGGAGGTTATAAGAGCATGAAGGCCCCACATCATCTATTTTGTTACACAAGCCCCAACAGACTCAATCGTTTGCTAGGTTTGCCGTAACCACATAGTGTGGACTGCGTGGCTTATGTAACAGAAATTTATCGTCTCATAGTTCTGAAGGGTCAAAGTCTAAGATCAAGGTGTCCACAGTGCTGATGACTTATGAGGGCTGTGAGGGAAAGATCTGTTCCAGAACTTTCTCCTTGACTTCTCCTGGCTGTGTTTTTCCTGTGTCTATCTATGTCTGTGTCTAAATGTCCCCCTTTTCTAAGGATATCAGACATACTGGATTGAGGCCTGCCCTACTGCAGTCTGACCTTGACTTAACTAACTACATCGACAAGAACACTGTTGCCAAATAGGACCACATTCTGAGGTACCGCAGGTTAGGACTTCAACATATGGATTTTGAGGGAACACAGTTCAATCTATAAAAATCTTCTGTGGAAAAACTGTCAGTACAGATCAGTGGAGAAAGAATGAATATTTAATTTAATTTGCATTGCTGGACAAAAGAGTTATCCATGTGGAAAAAATGAAATTAACAAGTAATACCTCCTTCAAACCATATAGAAAAAATATTTTTCATCAAAATTGTGAAAGGATAAAGTAAACCTTTACAATTTTTAGGAAAAAATAGGGCATTTGTATCTTATGAAAGGTATTCCATGACATAAAAAGATTAACACATTTGACAGCATTAGAATTAAGAACTGTTCTTCCTGACACCAAGGAGAATGAAAAATCAAGCCACAAACTCAGAGAATATATGTTTAACATACATGATGAGGAAACAATTTGTGTCTAAGACATTTAAAATATTGTTAGAATCTATAATAAAAAGATAAATCTAATAGAAAAATGGGCAAAAGATATTGAAAAGGCATTTTACAGGCTACTGCATGAGAAAGGATTCAACCTCATTAGTAGTTAAGAAACTACTATTTTAGCCATCAGTACTATGCCATTTGGCACCCATGAGATTGGCAAACATGAAAAGTTGAACTTTACCAAGTTTTACTAAAGATGTAGAGTAATGGAATCCTCGTTTCTCACCGGTGGTACAGCCACTTTGTGTAATAATTTGGCAGAATCTAATAAAGACAAGTGTGCATCTGTCCTAAGACAGAGTAATTTCACTTTTAAGTTTATGCCTGAGAGACACTCTTGCACCAAGAGTGTGCTCCAAAAACACACTCAAGGATATTTATAGCAAAACTGCTACTGATTTTACTAGAGAGAACCAAGAAACGATTGACACATGCACAGTTAATTTCTTCACTGAAGTCTTCCTACCTTTTAAAATAAATAAAGGATTTCATCAACAAGGGTGGACCTCAAAAATAGTGAAGAAGGTCACAGAAAAACGTTCAGTAGAATTTATTCATAGAAGATCAAAAACAGGCACAACTCAACAGCTTCTTTGAATGGCCCATGTATATGTCCCTAAAAAAAATGCAAGGTAATAATTATTTTAAAGAAAATTCAGGCTTAGTGGTTGTCCATGGGAATGAGAAAGGGAGGTACGATGAAGCAAAGTCACACTGGAGCCTTCTATTTCTTAGGCTGGATGTAGATACATGGGTATTTATGGATATTTGCTATTATATAAAATAAAACATATGTTGTCTACTGCTTTGCACATATACTACATAAGATCTTTTTTTCTTTTATTGTTGGGAATTCACTGAGGGTACAGAGAACCAGGTTACACTGCTTGCATTTGCTAGGTAATGTCCCTCTTATAATTGTGTCCCTCCTTCAAGAGGTGTGTCACACACCATGACCACACACCCCCTCCCTCGTTCCCTCTCTCCGCTCCCCCATTCCCTCACTCCCCACCGTGTACTAGCATCAATTGTCCTCATATCAGAATTGAGTATATGGGAGTCTTGCTTCTCCATGCTTGTGATGCTTTACTAAGAATAACGTGTTTCATCTCCATCCAGGTTAATACAAAAGATGTAAAGTCACCATCTATTTTGTGGCTGAATAGTATTCCATGGTATACATTATACCACAGCTTGTTAATACATTCCTGGGCAAGTGGGCATTTAGGCTGTTTCCACAATTTGGCAATTGTAAATTCAACAGCAATAAACACTCTAGTGCAAATAATAAAAGTATTTTTTTCTACTGGGTACACACCCAGTAATGGGATTCAGGATCAAATGGGAGGCCTATTTTGAATTCTTTGAAAATTATCCATACTTCCTTCCAAAAAGGTTGTATTAGTTTGCAGTCTCACCAGCAGTGTAAAAGTGTTCCCTTCTCTCCACATCCATGCAAGTGTCTGCAGCTTTGAGATTTTGTTTATATGGGCCATTCTCACTGCAGTTAGGTGATATCTCAGGGTGCTTTTGATTTGCATTTCTGTGATAATTTGGGATAATGTACATTTTTTTATATGTTTGTTAGCCACTCATCTGTCTTCTTTAGAGAAGGCTCTATTCATCCATCTTGCCCAGAGATATAAGGGGTTGTTGGCTCTTTGTATGTTGTAATGTTGTATGTTGTTTCTAATCTCTCCACAGAGAGCTAGTTATCAAGCTTTTGTCCAATTCATAATATGCAAATATATTTTCCCATTTTCATGGTTGCCTATTTGCTTTGGTTGTTGTCTTCTTAGCTGTACAGAAGCTTTTCCATTTAATTAAGTCCTGTTTGTTTGTTTGTTTTTAGACATAGTCTCACTCTATCACCCTTGGTAGAGTGCTGTGGCGTCACAGCTCACAGCAACCTCCAACTCCTGGGCTTAGGCTATTCTCTTGCTTCAGCCTCCCAAGTAGGTGGGACTAAAGGCACCTGCCACAATGCCCGGCTATTTTTTTGTTGCAGTTTGGCTGGGGCTGGGTTCAAACCTGCCACCCTCGGTATATGGGGCCAGTGCCTTACCCACTGAGCCACAGATGCCACCCCCATTTGTCAATTTTTGTTGTTGCAATTGTCGCTAGAATCTTCTTTGTAAAGTCTTTCCACAGGCCAATACCTTCAAGTGTTTTCCCCACACGTTCTTCGAGGATTTTTATTGTTCTATGCCTTAGATTCATCTTTTATCAATTTTAGTGAGTGGAGAAAGGTGCAGGTCCAGTTTTACACGTGGTATTCCAGTTTTCCCAGCACCATTTGTCAAATAGGGATCCTTTCCCCCAGTCTATGTTCTTGTTGGTTTATCAAAGATCAGGTAGCTGTAAGATATTAGTTTCATCTCATGATTTTCTATTTGGTTCCAGGTGTCTATGTCTCTATTTTTGTGCCAATACTATGCTGTTTTGATAACTATGGCCTTTTAGTACAACCTGAAGTCCGGTAGGGTGATGCCCCTGGCTTTGTTTTTATTACTAAGAATTGCCTCAGGTATATGGGAGTTTTCTGGTTCCATATAAAACAAAGAATTTTTTTTTCCAAATTTTGAAAGTATAATGTGGGTATTTCAATGGAGATGGCACTGAATCTGTAGATTGCTTTGGGAAGTATAGACATTTTAACAATGTTGATTCTTCCCAGCCATGAGCATGGTATGTCTTTCTATTTGTTAATATCTTCTGCTATTTCTTTTCTTAGGATTTTATAATTTTATTTATAGAGATCCTTCATCTCTTTTGTTAGGTATATCCCCAGGTATTTCGTTTTTCTTTGAAGCTACTGTGAAGGGGATTGTGTCCTTGATTAGCTTCTCATTTTGGCTGTTCTTGATGTATATACAAAGGCTACTGACTTGTGGACACTGATTTATAACCTGAGATATTACTGTGCTCTTGATCTGGTGTTATATCAGACATCAAAAAAATACACTGATGCCAATCCTGATGCCCAAATAAAAAAGTGGCACATGTGACTATTACTGGACAAAGTGCCACAGATATAAAAAAAAAAAAAAAAAACCCACAAAAGATAGATGGAGTCCTTTGACTGCTAATTTCACACTTGGCAAAGCTTGCTTTTAAGGTTTACCACAAAAACAGGCATAGATGGAACATAAGATAACATTATTAAAGTCCTATATGACCAGCACACAGCCAATACAATACTGAATGGGGAAAAATTGAAAGCATTCCTGATTAGAACTGGAACTAGACAAGGTTGCCCACTGTTCCCACTTCTATTCGACAGAGGGCTGGACGTTCTAGCCAAGGCAATCAGATTGAGGGTATCCAAAGAGAGACAGAAGAGGCCAAATTATCACTCTTTGCTAATAACATGATCTTGTATCTAGAAAACCCCAAAGATTCTGCCAAGGGACTCCTGGAGTTGATAAATAAATTTAGTAGAGTCTCAGGTTCCAAAAATTAATTGCCACAAACCAAGACCGTTGGTATATACCAATGACAGTCAAGCTGAGAATCAAATGAAATCCACAATACCTTTCACAACAGCAACAAATGAAAGAAAACACCCTAGGAATATATCTAACCAAGGAGGTGAAGGACCTCTACAGGGAGAACCAGGAGTCACTGAGGAAGGAAACAGCAAAGGATGTAAATAAATGGGAAAATATGTATCATGCTCATGGATTGGAAGAGTGAACACTGTTAAAAATTCTATGCTACCCGAAGTGATCAACAGATGTAATGCAATTCCCGTTTTTCAGAGGCCTAGAAAAAAACAATTCTTCACTTTGTGTGGAACCAGAAAAGAACCCAAATAGCCAAAGTGACCATAAGCAAGAAGGGCAAATCTGGAGGCATAACTTTACCAGACTTCAAGCTACATGACAAGGATATAGTAACCAAAACAGCATGGTACTGACACAAGACAGAGACACAGAGCTATGGTTCAGAAGCAAAAACCCAGATATAAAACCAGGTATAGAACCCCTCACAAGAGTCCTTCGTGTTTTTCCCAGGTGGATCAATGACATCTGGAAGCCATGCCAGATCGCTTAGTGAAAAATAAACCTGTATGCAGCTGAAGTTTGAGAAACAGTATTATATCTGCTTATAAAGTAACAGAAGCAAAGAAACCAAAATGTAGAATGATAGTCTCTGGTGATAGAATAGTAATTGATTTATTCTCCATTATTCATTAGCCATTATTTTGTCCAATTTTTATCAGAAAATCTATTGGTTCTATCATTAGAAAAACATGCAACATTTTCTTAAGGGTGATTCTTATTAAATCTTACATCTTTCTCTTTTTCAGGGTACATGTGCTGACACCCCTCCTTATCATTGCTTATCTGACATGAGAGAGTGTAACAGCACCTCTAAACTCACAAGTGAAGTCAACAGGCGCAAAACAGCCTCTGAAATTCAGAGTCCAAATCAGAGCACCAATAAAGATTGTTGTTTCACCTTTACTTTAAATGCAACCTGTAGAAAATCAAACCACAGTGTGTTTACAGTTCGTGGTGAACCCAATGAGAGCATCTTCTCAGCTCTGAGCGGTCACGACCATTTCAATGAAAAGATGAAGGATCATTTCACCAAGGACATTATTGTCTCTGAGGAGGATAAAGAAATAAAAAGATATATCAATTTGGGAATGCCTCTCAAGTGCCTGCCTAGAGATTCTCATTTAAATATAGAACTGGTTCAAAGAAAGAAGGGCCACGAAGAAGACGATCAGATTTTGCGTCGATGTGAGAATCCAGACGTTGAATGCATTCTTTTTCATGTTGTTGCTGTCGGGAAGACGATAAAGAAGATTGTTAAGATCAACAAACTTCATGAAGAAGGAGGTAGACTTTGCATCTATGCCTTGAAGGGTGAGACTATCCAGGAAGCTTTATGCAAGGATGGCCGATTTCGGTCTGATCTACATGAATTAGAATGGAAAATGAAGGAAGGTCACCAGAAAATTTATGGAAAGAGGTCAATGGTGGATGAAGTATCTGGAAAAGTCTTAGAAATAGACATTTCAAGAAATAAACACAGGAAGCAAGGTGAAAATACTAAACAGAAGGAGAATGCCAGTGATGAAATCACACCCTCTGGCCTGATACAATCTAAGGAAAAGATCCATGAAGCAGAAAAAGATGGAGAGGATGAAGATGTCAAACTCAGCAGAGAAAAAACTTACCCACATGACAGTATACAGCATGATCTTCAAGATAAAATCAATCGGACAATTTCTGAGATTAGAAGTCATTATGATCATAGTTCTGGCAAACAGCTGCTAGTTGGGCAGAGGCCCCCTGAAAATAGAAAACATCCGATTAATATTAATCTGGGTATCTCAATGAAGATACCTCATCTATATAATCTCCAAATGTTGAATGAAGACATAATGCAGCAATATCCAAATTTCAAAGTTGAGGCAGGTTTGATGAGAAAGTATTTCCAGATAGAACAGGAGAGAAATGATCTGACAACATTCCAACAATTCAACATTTATGAAAAGTACTTTGGAAAAGTGACTAAAAGTTCTCTTTCAGTTGCAACGTGTAAGCAACTTAGTTACCTTAGTAAGTCCGTTGGCTTCATGAAATGGGACAATAATGGCAATACAGGCAATGCTACTTGCTTTGTCTTCAATCACGGTTATATTTTCACCTGTCGACATGTTGTAAATCTTATAGTGGGTAAAGGCATACATCCAAGTTTGTGGCCTGATATAATCAGTAAAAGTGCAAAGGTAACCTTCACTTATACAGATTTCATTCCTCCTAAAGACGATTGGTTTTCCATCGAGCCATGGTTTGAAGTGTCTGATAATGACCTAGATTATGCCATTTTAAAACTAAAAGAAAATGGAAATGCATTTCCTCCAGGCCTCTTTGCACAAGTTTCCCGTCAACCACCTAGTGGTTTGTTGTACTTAATTGGTCATCCAGACAGCCAGATCAAGAAAATAGATGATTGTGCTGTGATTTCTCTAAATGAACGATTAAAAAGGTATCAGCAGTATCTTTATTGTGGGTTGGCAGAACCCCAGGCTGCCACTGGTAATGTTTGCCCAATGTTTACCAAAAGAAGTTTCCCATTAGAGGCTTGGGACAGCAACACACTGACTTACGATACCTGTTTTGCTGATGGGGCCTCTGGTTCCCCAGTGTTTAATGCATCTGGCAAATTGGTTGCTATTCATTCCTTTGGGCATTTTTATAACCAGGATAATAAGCCTTGTGCCTTTATAGAATTTGGCTTTTATATGGATTCTATCCTTCACAATATTGAAAAGCGAAATGAGTCCTTCTACAGATTATTACATGAAGAAAAAATAGAGAATGAAAATGAAGACAAAACTGACAAGTGTGAGTTCCCACGTCAAGATCATCAGACTGAACCCATGGAAGTCTAGGGAAAACAGGTGCTGCCTGCAAGGAAATGGTCTAGTAGTTTAAATTGTTGAGGGCTGTTTCCATAAAATAGAGTGATATCACTTTCTTTGTTAGAAATTTGTAGTAAATGATGAGTATGTATAAAACATAATTTAAGTTAGAGCCTAAATAAATAACTGATTTTTACCCCCTTTGGTTTTTTTCTTTATTTGAAACAAGCCTCAATGGAAATGCTTACCTCACTTACACGCTTACAAAGAATTTGTTATTTGACATTCTAAATGGCAATTTTGGAACAATTCAACATAGATAAAAAGTAATTTAGAAAAGCGACTGACAATGTCCAAATTGATGCATCTTTGTTACTGGCATAGGGGTTCCTGTCCTCTACCTAACAGAATAGTGAGGAAATGCACCTTTAAAGTTAAGGAAAATGACACGTGTTCTTCCTTCTAATAAAGCTAGAATTCTTTGGTAATCTAAATTACCTCTGTCCCATCCCACCTGTGACATCAGTCTCTCTTGCAGAAAGCAATAGAAAATGCATTTCTTTCTGCCAATTCAGAAATAGCTAAGCCTTCTCTGGGAAATATGAACACAGGCCTGCTTGGTCTCCATCCCCACATTCACCTGTTCCTGGTCTAGAATTCTGAAAGCGCAACATCTCAGAGCAATAGGCAACTAAGATTCTGAATAAAAATTAGACTCCCAAATATATGTTATTTGGAAGGCGAAAGTAAAACGGAGGTCATTTTTCTTCTGCACCATCTTTTGGCAAGCTAGGTCACGGAAAAGTGAGTGTCTACAGACAGCCGTGCAGGCACATCCATGGTCAGTGCTCAGTCATCAGCTTCATGGGCATCCGGAAGTAGTTGCAGCTGTAGCAGCAGCCAGAATAGTGTGGCCGTGTCTGCTCTTTGCCTCTGATGCTGTGGAGAGGCAATTGGGATGGTAAATTTCGTAATTTGGCGGCCTGACTCCTGGATTACAGCTAAGAGGGTGTGTTCTTCAAGTCAAAGGCTCCAGTGTTGGCTTCCTCAATCCCACTCTCCTTATCATGCTAAGTATTTCCAGTGCTCAAACCCTTGTGCTACATCTCCCTTCCCTGCACAGAACCCTGACTGATGTACCCTCCTTGACAAACAGCAATTGCTTAAACCTTCCAAATACATGATGGTCTCTTAGTTGTGATTGTAAATTGTAAATCTGACTCAGAGAAAATGTTCACTAGGAAATGCTAGATCTTTATATCTATTAGAAAGAATATGAAACAGATCTTGAATTTCCTAAGAGAAAATTATTAGTTGAACATGAGAGAAGTTCATTTTTCTCACATATACTAGTCCCTTGTGGTTGCGGGATTCTAACCTGTCAGAGTATTAAGTTTCTCCAGTTTGGTTAGATCTACGCTACAATCCTCAATGTGCAACCTGCCCACAGAGGCTACTGAACTTCTAGCCAACACGTCCGCACAGCCACCAGGGGCAATGACGGCAAAGGAGAGTGTGCTCCTCTTCCTTTTGGGAACACGATCCTCCCAGAAGCCATGCGGCTGCTCACACCCAGGATGCACGACACGGTCGGGTGGCTCCGGGAGCCGAAAACCATGCAGTGACCTGAATTGTTTCTTCTTGATACCCAGAGGCCCAGGCTCAATTCTACAACCCTGGAATAAGGGGGAAATGGATATTGGGTGAACTTGTTGTGCCAGCCACAGACCCAGCCATCAGTGAAGGACACTCATCCACTTCCCAAGATAATCCAAAATATCTGAGTAATATGTACTTTTCTTCATCACATCCAAACACAGCTCCTTACAGTCCAGAGGCTTCTCTGTCCATTTCACTGGACACACACCCCAATATAGTATGATGGAGCACACACACCCCAATATAGTATGATGGAGCACCCCAGCCACACACCCAATATAGTATGATGGAGCACAGCAGAGCCTAGCAACTTAAATTTTAATTTGGAAAAGAGAAAACTAGGACACTTAACACTTATAATTCCAGAGCAATGACCAAATGCTTCTGTGCAGGAATTGCCAAGGCGTCCAGCTCTGGCAGGGAGGACAGTGTTTGGTTAACTCCTACTAACATTCCTGGTCCTTCCCAGTTAGAGTTGGAAATTTGACCACGGTGCTCCTCAGCCTCAGATTTTGCTGTTCTTTCATTTTTTGGTTATTTTTGTCTATTATTCATTGTTGACATATTTTTTTCCTTTTGTCAGTCTAATTTTATTTCATTATAATATATGTACACTAAAATTCACTATTTTTGATGTACAGGTCTATGGACCCTGATAAATACATATCTTGTGGTAACTGCTACCACAATCAAAAAGTTAAGCTATTTTTTCATAAAATATAATACACTGCTTTAATGTGTTTAATGATAATTTCAGGCAAGATTTATCTTTTTCTGACTTTTAAATTTTCTGTTGCATCTTATTTGTTTAGCTGGATTATTCAAATCAGAATGCAAAGTCTACAGCCTGCGCTTGGCTGTAGGAGTCTCTGCAGTCACATCTGAGTGTGTGTATTCCCCTTTCCTCTCCCCCCTTTTTTACTTAAAACTTAAAAAAATAATAATCTTTTTAAACTGATTTTTACTTATTCAAGAAAGTGGGTCATATTTCTTCTATAGAATACTCCTAGTGCATACTCTAAACCTTGCTACATCCGTGTGTAGGTTGGTGGGTAACTCAACAGGGTTGATCTCATCCTGTTTTTTAACATTTTGCCAAGGATACTTTCTAAGTGGTGTCAAGGTTCCAGCCTCTGATCTCCGGTTCAATGAAAGTCATGAAATTTATTACAAATCCCACTGGCTTACCAGGACTGGGTGTTGAATACAGAGTATCTGGAGATTGCACTGCTTTGAATAACTGAGCCAAAATCATGTTCCATCTCCTTTTATGAAGAACCTTTACACTCCATTCTGACAAATACTGGCTGGTTTTTGACGACAGAGTTTAACAAATCCTGACAGTTCTCTCTACCTTAAACTTGTCTTTTCCATATATTTTGCAAATCTCCCTTAGACAATCAATCAGAAGTTTAAATCTGATGTGATGGTTAATGGAATGCATCCAGCTGAGTGAGCCTTGGGGTTCCCACATATCTGGTCTAACATTACTCTGATGTTTCTTCCTTTTGGATGAAGGAACAGTTAACAGTAGACTGAGGGTAGCAGACGGCCGCCCATGATGTGAGAAGAGGAAGGCTGACCTTCCCTCAGACAAATAAGAGAGAATTCTTCCTGCCTGATGGCCTTCAAGCTGGAACATCGCTTTTTCCTGCCTGTGGACTCAAACTAAGCATCAGGTATTCCTGACATCAAGCCTGCTGGTGTTTAAACTGGGACTACACCATTGTCTTTCCCAGGTCTCCAGCTTGTCCACTCACCTAAAGATCTTCGGACTTGTCAGCCTCCATAATTGCATGAGGAAATTTCGTACAATAAATCTCTTTATATATGTGCGTGTGTGTATTTGTGTGGATAAGTGTGCACACACACACATATATTTGAATATATATGTAGTTGACTCTGTGTCACTGGAGATCCCTGACTAATGCAGGTGGTGTCAGATCAACTACCTCCAGGCAGGGGGCGTGAGAGGAATTAGTTATCTTTCTCCTACCAGAAGACAAAACAGGAGGCAGAGGGAATGCATCATTCAAGTGTAGCACTTAACATTCTCCATGTCCTAAGATGCCTCCCAAAGACCATAACTCCAATTCTAGGAAACTTATTCTCTTAAGTAAATGACTAGATTTTTACACATGAAATGCAGAAGGTTGTAAATTCAACTCCCACTAGAATTCAGAAATATAAAAGATCAGTATTAGTGTTCTTTGTCTGGTTATGCTGGGCTGGGCATATCAGACTAATCTTCCCATCCTAGTCTCTCTTTTTTTCTCTCTCTCCACATATATATCAGATATACACACAGAGTTATACACTGGAAAATGTAGACAAAAAACAGGCTATATGTATGTGAAGGCATCCAAGCACTACGAAGGAGATACAGAACCAACATCCACATGAGGACAGAAGCCCAGCAGGGTGAGTTCTGCAGTAAGTGTGCCTCTTACCTCAGGGATTCCTGAAAACTTGGATGAGTTGGCTGACAGGTTGAATGGCTGACCAGACATTTGAAGGGAATCATGAAGGTGAGGGGAACGAGTTAGAGACCAAGGCTAATCCAGTGGTAGGATCGACAATCAAGTGCTAGGCAACACCACAGGATTTGGGATGGGAACATAGTTACTGCACCCAGGAATAAGAATGTGCTACAAATATCTCCGCATTCAGAGGACACAGATCAGTCTGAAATCTTCTTGATCCTGATTAGGTTAAGGTGATCAGGGATTACTAGTGACCCCAACCCAGGCACCTCCTCAAATTAATGGTAAAGTCTCTTTGGAGCAAGATGATTATCATCCTGAGATTCCAATTTTTTTGCAAACCAACATTTGCTACAGACAAATGAATGTTCATCTTGGGTTTATAAAAAGGTAAAGAACTTTTATGAGCAAAAGAAATCCAGACATATGGTAGAAATGTACACTTCATGAGAAACACAAGACAATATTCTCCCCAACACCAAAAAGGAGACAGATACTTGACTAGAATTATTTACCTATGAGGACACTCAAGGGCCCATCGTGCTCACTGAAAGATGGGCTTCCTTTCACTGCCTGAATAACAGGGCATTGGTCCTACTCTCAGCATGACTCACATCTACCAGACCATGTGGATTGACTGTTCCTGTTTTCAGATTGAGTGAAATTAAAAGGGACGATTATATTACAAAAGGTGAGTTGTAATTGCAACCAAAATTGTATCTTTAGACCTTTTCATAAAACTACAGGTCTTCTTGTCAAATGTTGGCGCCCAGTACCCTCCACCCCAAAAATGGCATGAAAGATTTCTAATCACCTGAACTCACTGCTGCAAATAGATCTCTACTTCAGGTTATTCATAGAAGCTTCCAATTTGGGGTAAGTCATGCTTAAACAGCATGCAAATAAGGCCCGCACTTCTCAGACCCAGTGCTAAAACATAATTCCCTCCATCCTCCTGAACCAAAGCTGGGCCCCATCAGACGGGCCAGACACGTGCTTATAGTAAGGTTACTCTTCACCTCCATTTTAGGTATAATTTATCACTGGGGTGTTGAGGAATCAGATGCATAGACCCTGCGATCTGAGGCAGCAAACACATCTGAATTTGGGATCTCTGTCTCAAATGTCACCACCTATGTCCCAGCATCCCTGAACCTTCTCTGTGGCCCCTCTGCATCCTGTTCATTCCTGTCTTCCAGCATGTGTGTCTAACCCTCTGAGTGTCCTTCTTACCAACCACAGTGCAACTTAATGGATGCTGAGGACGTGGTTACATTCATCTTTGTGTCTTTAATGCTCAACATGTGTCTGACACATATTTATACAGAAGTTCCTCCAAACACACTGAATACGAATTTAGGCTTATAGGTCTTAGGCGTAGATTAGTGGAATGTGAGTGACAGTGATTCCACAGAGCACATTCAAGAGACCAGTATCCCAGGTGGCCCCTGTAGCTCAAAGGAGTAGGGTGCCAGCCCCATATGCCAGAGGTGGCAGGTTCAAACCCAGCCCCGGGCCCAAAACTGCAAAAAAAAAAAAAAGAGAGAGAGAGAGAGAGAGAGAGAGAGAAGTATCCCCAGAGACTTGTACTAGACCCTTACAAACCAGCCAGAGGTGAGGCCCAGGGCTGGGTCTCCTCCAGCACCCCCTCCCTGTTTGTGTCACATGGTCTTCACAGGCTCCCCAAGGCAGCCAAGAGAAGCAAATAAAGGAGGGTCCCTGCCGGCTGGAGGCCTGACAGGAGGATCCATCCTCTTTGAACAGAATATGTTGCTTTCTGCATGTTCTCATTTGCTTATTTTGTTTTTGCTTGTTGTGAAGGTCAGGTATACAGTTCAAACAGAACGCAAAGGCAGCCACTCAAAACGGATGCTGGGATATGGGAGGAGGGAGGGTATCTGGGGGGACCTTGCCTAGTGTGCATGATGCAATGGTACGTTTCAAAACTATTAAGAAATGAGTATAATTGTGATGAATGTGTTACTTGGTTCAATGTAAACATTTCACATTGTATATTGAAGCAGTACCCTGAACCCCATAAATGCATCAATGTACAATGTTATGATTTGATAAAAAATTAATTATAATTTTAAAAAAAAGGACATTGGCTAATGGTTCTAGCAGTTCAGGCATGTGGTTCAACTATTTCAAGACCAGCAAGGGAGGGGAGAGTCTGCTAAGTAAATTAATTGCCCAGCTTTAATGTAGTAAATTAATTGCCTCAATGACTGAGCCACTTACAGTGTGCTTTCGCTCTTGTTGCTATGCCATGGCCAGAAAGAAAACCGAAAGTAAAAGAATTGAGTTCCAGTGATGTAGTATATGTTTCCCAAGAACAAAGTATAAAACGCCAAGAAATACATGTAAAGGCCCAGCCCGCTGTCTCCTTTTCAATGCCAGAAATACTTAGCAGATGAATTAATAAAAGCAGATTCCTCAGCCGCGCACCAAGAATCCTCCACGTTTTCACAATAATCCAGGAAAAAGGAGCATTTGAGATCTTGTTCACCCAGAAAACTGAGGCCACCGCATCAGGCTCAGACAACTCTACTTCTACCTCCTTCAGACCAACAGTTGGATCTCAGAGGGGCACATGGAACTAAACCTCCACATCCCCAACGTTACAGCTCGGCTAACTAAGCAGAGTTCGAGCTCCACCCCACAGAACTGAGGATTGGGTAAACCCTCTCCATGTCGCCCTTCCATTGGGCAGCAGGGGTGTCGATCCCCGCCCAGGTGCATACGTCCCTCCCCCGCCCTCTTCCCACAGGCTTGTCCTCTGCTGCCATCTGCTGGCATCGCTTGGCAGTTTACCTGTTGTGAAGAAATGCCTGGGGTTGGGGAGGTCCTAGGGGGCTGAGCTGGAGTCCCGGGGCTGCCCTGAAAGCAGGCCGCCCCTGCTGGTCTCATTCCAAGAATGACAGTAAACGTTCCCCAAACCGACCATTTATCACTGAATAATAATGCCCAACTGTATTATTGTTGATATGTTTCCCGTCATAAAATTAGTCATAAAAATAGCTGATTGACTAAAATTAATGTTTATGGAGTATAAGCCTATGAAAAGCCATAATAGCATTATTTTTATTTATTTTCCAGTAAGTGAGATAACAGTGTAAACTTTGACTGTAATAACAGAATTCATTTTTTGTAGCAGAATAACAAACACAGGACTTACAAGTAAAAATAATGCTGTGCCAAGTCCATTCTTCTTTGAACTGGGTAACTATGTAAAAGTTAGTGGGAAGAAAGAAAAAGGCCTACCTGGGTGTGGAAGAAAATGTATCCCGTGCTGTTCCCTTTATATTTGATTCTGCACGTAGAAAGTCATTTCTTCCCAGCAAAGAAGGAGTCCCCGCACCCCTCAAAAGAAAAAACGCTACAGACTGACAGCAAATTAAATGTAGAGGAAAAAAACATTGAGGGCTACACTGAGAAAGATGTGTTCCCTTTGAACCTAGTCTAAGAAGTCAGAAACAGCATGCTTACAGAAGCATTGAAGGAAACTCATGCTATATTTATAGGAGTTTTATTGTAATTATAAATAGCAGTCTGGTCTCTAAAAGAAGAAAACGTTAAATTTAATAAGTTTAAAGAGTACAGTCGCTTCTTACTATAAAGGCATACACTCTGCCTGCATCGGCTTTATTCCCAATCATCATACTAGCACAGGGCCTATCCCACCTGCTGTGCATGTTGACCCCTCATCCCTAGCCTCAGTGCCTTCTGTGCACTCTGGCAGGTGCTGTGCTGCTGCAGGGCCCAGCCTGGCATCCCTGCAGCTCCTCCGCAGCCATGATCTCCAGGCAGAACAGCCATGTTCCACCCCTGAATTCCGCTAGTGGATCCTGTAGGGTGGGTCACAAGCTGCTGCAGAATCCCTGCTGGTCTCACTATGGCTCCTAACATACTCCTGCTCTCTCCATCCCCTTCCGGGGCACCCATGACCTGGACCCTTTACAATACTCAGGATTAGAACACAGATAACAGAAGCTGCCTTTAAAATCAGCAGGCAGGAAGTAGTGAGGTAAGGTCCTGCCTGCAGCAAAAAGGGGGAGCTCTTAGGCAGGGAGGGAGGATGGACGTGCTCCCTGGGTTCCACCTTTCCATTCACTCCTTCCTGCTGCTCCACTTGGTGGCCAGAGCACTGCCAGTAGGAGAGTTGCTATCAAGAGGCAAGACAGAGTCCATTATCCTTCCCTCCCTTGACCAGAATCCAGGAGGGTTCAGTTCTCTGAAGTGCAAGATTCCACTTGCCCTTGAACGGGAGGGACAGGTTCCCTCAGTTCAAGTGCAGCAAGTGACAGCTTGGTTTGGGAGGGACCTGCCTCTTGGGTGAGTGACCTTCTGGTTTTGGGGTTGATCCAAAGTTTTGGCAGGATGCATTGGCAGCAGCGTGATGCAGGGAAACCCTAGACTGGTGGGGAGAGGGTGGGGAAACGCTGTATACCTGGATGCTGCTGCTCTCGACAAGGGGACTGTCAGGTCTGAAAACGATAAAAAAAAAAAAAAAAAAAAAAAAAAAGAGAGAGAGAGAGCCAAACAGAAAAGATGCAGAACTATTTCTTTTGCTGTGTCTAATGGGTAGTATAGTCTAATTTTTAAAAACTGATGTCTGTTAAGACCCAACACTAATTTTAAGAAAATGTGTCCTAAGAAGATCAACCTTTCTGAGTCCGAATCCTGTGCGTAGTTAGCAAGTCCTCTCGAATACGTTTTCCTGAGCGAGTTTCCAAATGACAAATGATGTGACATTCTCGGGTCCTTTCATACTGTGAGAACTGAAGCCATCTACATTCACTAAGTTTGCTAACCACACTAACATGATTTATTATTCTCCCGTTTCATCATAAATTTACTATTCCAGGAAACTTTTGTTAGGGACTAGAAAGCTGTAAATATCTTTCTTATTTGTTCTTGCAACTTCCTCAAAGAGCTAAACACTAAAGAACCGTTTACATCCCCAAGACTTCTTGAACCCTGCCCACAAAATCCTAACTTTGTTATATCCACCAGTCCTAAACTATAACCCAATGTTTACCCAATCCTAACCAACCCCCTATTTTAAAGACCAGACTTAAACTGGACTTCAAAATCTCAACCCGTAGTGCAACCTTGCTATTCCCTCTCTGAGACACGAACACAATTATGTCAAGTAATTGTTTTTCATTACCTCACTGAGCCACAAACGCGATTTTGCCTTAGTAACGGGTTGTTTTAATGGCATTTGGGGTGCCAACATTTGACGTTACTGGAGGCCTCAGCGGGAAGAACATACTCAACTCTGAAATAGTGTGTCCTCCAGAAGTCCCCCCATCCTTCTCTGCAAGGCCTCTGTGACCTCACAGGTGGAGAAAGTAAATCTTGGATTCTTTTTTTCTTTTCTTGCCTCTCAACCGCTGAGTTTATTTTGTGCCTAGGAGTAAAGAAATCTTTTCTAGAAATCCCTTTGATTATCTGATCAGATGTTTAAGAGTTGGGGGCTTGGTGGAAATCTTCCCAGTCACTGGTGACACTTCGATTTGTCTCTTTCCTTGTGTTCTCTTCCCTAGTTCTCAAGAAAGAGAACAGCGACCTCTAAGTCTTATTTCCTAAGCTGGCCCTGGGGACTAAGAAGCTCAGAAGCTTTTGTTTCAAGAATGGTGGGAGGAGGGTTCTGAATCAACAGTGTCACAAAAACGTCCTATCTGGAACTAAGTAAGACCAAACAGCCAGCCCCCCCTCCCCCGCCCCGCGCACTCACAGCTGGGAGGAGGCGGCGGAGGGAAGGTTTGGGCAGGAAGAGCGCTCTGGCGCTGGGGAAGTGCCAGTCACTGATTGGCCGTCCCGAGAGCGGGAGATCCAAGCCTCGGCCCCGCCCCCGCTGTCCGCCGCGTGCGAGCTCACTCGGGGTTCTCTCCTGGGCCGCGCCGGCTGCGTTTCTGCGGGGCTCTGGGTTCTTTGCTTACCCCAGTACTAAGCCGACCTGTTTGGGGCTCTCAGTTGGTGCTCCAGTGCTGGCGGTGAGCGAGTCGACCCCGGACGGTGAGCGAGGCGGGGGCTCCGGGCAGTGATCGAGGAGGCGGCCCCGGCGGGGAGCGAGGCGACCCCGGGCAGTGATCGAGGCGGCCCTGGGCAGTGAGCGAGGCTGGGGCCCCGGGCGGTGAGCGCCCAGGAGCTGGGGTGGGGCCGGGTGCGGACGCTGGTGCGGAAGGGAAGGGGTCTGGGGCTTCCAGGCCAGGGCACTGCCCATCTCGAGGCCAGGAGGACGCAGGTTTTACTTCAGTGTCTGCTTCACGTCCTACTGTGTGCTCCAGGAATCTGGACAGTGGGCTTACTTGAAGTTAAGGGTCAGCCTTGATCCTCACCTCTAGAAAGCAGAGAAGAGAAAGAGGGAATAGAGGTAGGGACAGAGGGAGAGAGGAAGAAGAGAGAGGTTGGAATAGACAGAAATTCCAAAAGGGAGCTGTCAAGTAGGCTGGCTGGAGATGGGATCCAGCACAGGCTGGATTGCTTTATCCCTTTCCTGTAGAAAGTTTGGGTAAGGAGAACTTGACTTTCATCTATAAAACACAGGAGGGATTAGGATAGCTAAGGGCTCTTTATATTTTGACATAACAAGGTTCAGTCTGGATACCTGAAACAATCTGTGAAGGGGGAAAATCGAGGGTATTTTCTTAACCTCTTGCCCCTTTCCACTGTGATTGCTCAAGCACCTGCCAGTGGACTACAGAATACCTGTTTCTTTCTGTCACACTATTTTCCTTTTTATCTTGTGTTTGTTAGTGACCGCTAAAGCACTTGTATCCTCTGAAACTGCACTAGATGAGTCATCATAAACACAGGAAACCCCCTGATTTTCTTAATTGTTAGGCAATTGTTGCCTTCAAGAATATTACAGGATAGCTCAGTTCCTCAATGATGTATCTATTTTTGTTTCCCCAGGTTCTCTGCTGTTTAAAAGGTGTCCCTGTGGTGAGTGTACTGATATTGATAAATATGGCCAGCTTGGAATTTATTGGGCCACCTAGTACTTGCCAAGCACTGCCTCAAAGGCTCTGCATGCATTGTATTTTTTAATCTTCACAATAACGGAAGTTGATTCTAATACCACTTCCTTGTGTTGTGAGAAAAATGAGGCAAAAGGTTATTAATTAGTAAACCCCAAGTCATGTAGCCAGTAAGTGGTGAGTTCATTTTAAACTCAGATGGTCTGTAAATACTAACACTGATATAGCACTTTGATATTCATTATCTTATTTAGAAGCATTGCCTCTTTTATAAACAAGAAACTAGGTTCAGAAGGTCATGGATTTCCTCAGTAGCTCATTACCAGCATGTGAGAAAGCCAGGTCTGCAGGTTCCATAGTGGAATTGTTAAGAGAATAAACATAGTCTTTAGATAACTTCCACTTGACAAGAGATTCAGGGGCTAGAACGTAAGTTAACATGTGAGGAAGCGACCCAGGAGGTGAGCATCCTTGAGAAACAACTTCTCAGTGCTCTTCAACCAGTCAATGCCTCTGGAATAAAAGAGCCTTAAGAGACATAAGTCAAGGCACCCTGTGTACCTCAACTGTACCTTGGTGTGTGAATAAATTAGTATTGTGATTATATAACAAAAAGTACTTAATTTGTAGAGATGGAAAGTGACCTTAAGGAAAAGTATAAGCTATCTATTCAAGTTCTTTATCTTGTGGGGCAATAATCTAACATTTAAATACAACAATAATACCTACCTTATAGTGTTGTACAGATTGTATCAGGTAGTTCATGAAAAGCCCTTTCATGGTGCACAGGGCAGAGTGCACCATCTACCTACTGCATTCGCTCAGTGAATGCATCTCTATAAATGCACGTGACAGAGGGCCTGCCACGTGCCAGATGTTATTTTAGGTGCTAAGGCACTAAAGTACCTAACGCCTAAAGCTGCTGCCCCCAGCAGGATTGCTCTTTATAGTGGTGTTTATCACTACTGGAGATTTCACCATTTTATTTAAATTGTTCATTCTATGGAGACATCTGAGGAAAGAGAGAGGAAAAATTATCTCTCTAAACAAAAAAAATTAAGGTAGCTACTAAGGTTCCTCGCTATTAACCTGGGGCAAACATTTCATATTTCTTTTTGAAATCTTGTTCCAAATTTGTTGTGTCATCTGTTCCTATGCAGTTCTGCCCCCTCCCATTTCCCCATCTCTTGCCTTCTCCATCTTCAGTGGCGACTGGATTGAACTAAGTGGTGAATTCACTGAGCAATGTAAGTAGAACACCTCTGTGAATTCTCCCACTGCAGACTCTTCTATAGGATGTTGTACTCACATTTGGATTCTAGCTGTGCCATGTAGCTCTGGCCTGGGGCTGGAGCTGCCTTCTCTAACCTACACTTTTCCCATCTGGAAATGCACACACACCTGCATTCCATGGAATCTGTGGGATTGGCAATTAAAGGTAATTTTTGTTAAGTGTTCATGGGGGATTGCCTGACAAGTAGTCTTGTGTACAAGAGAGTTTTTATCATTGGGGTGATTAGAGTTGATGAATAATCTCCTTGCTAACGTAACATCTGAAGAGAGAGTGAGACTGGAGCTCAAGGGAAAAGGTGGGACATGAGACTCCTGTCCATCTTTTTCCTCTATACAATTAGTGATAGCCACAAAGAAACTGCTATAACTTGAAACTTTTTGAAATTAGTGTCTTGGCTGAACCATCTCTTCTTCTTCAAGCCATCATGAGTGGCAAGAAGCGCAGATCACAGATCTCAGTCGATGCAAAGAAGAACAAGAAAATCGATGACTATTTTTCACAGGTATGTCTGTACGTTCTATTTATGGACTACAGTCATCCCTGGGTGTTCATGGGGGATTGGTCCCAGGACCTCTCTCAGATACAAAAATCCTTGAATGTTCAAGTCCTTTATGTAAAATTGCTTAGTATTTGTATAACCTATGCACCTCCTGCTGTATACTTTCAATCAGTGGTTCTCAACCTTCCTAATGCCACAGCCCTTTAATAAAGTTCCTGAGGGTCACAACCCACAGGTTGAGAACCGCTGCTTTAAATCATCTCTGGGTTACCTAAGGCACATAAGACACAAGATAAACTGTTGTGTGAATAGTTGTTATACTGGTATAAAGTTAAGGAATAAAGACCAAATCCAGAAGTCTATACATGTTTAGTAGAGATGCAACCTGACATTTTTTCCCCAAATATTTTTGATCAGCCATTGGTTGAATCTACAGATGGGAAACTTGCAGATACAGAGTAGTGATTTTATACTGATATTAGCCTTAGCTATCTTTGGCATTAGGTTTTATAGTTCTTTCTGCCAACAAATTACTTCATTGTATTGGGAGTACTGAATAAGTTAAAATCTTTCTCATCTGTTTTATCCTTTCTGTCCTTGAGGATGGCTGCGTAGGAAGAGAGTTGTAATACATATTTTAGTCATATCAAGGTAGCCATTAATAAAAAGCTATTGTAATATTTCTTGAATAACAATAAAAAATCAAATATAAGATATTACACAAAACTATGAAATAAAAGCAAAATTAAAGCTATTTTGTAGCATGAAAAATACACCATTCCAGGCTCGGTGCCTGTGGCTTAGGCAGCTAAGGTGCCAGCCACATATACCTGAGCTGGTGGGTTCAAATCCAGCCGGCCTGCCAAACAACGATGGCTGCAACCAAAAAATAGCTGGGTGTTGTGGTGGGCACCTGTAGTCCCAGCTACTTGGCAGGCGGAGGCAGGAGAATCGCTTGAGCCCAGGAGTTGGAGGTTGCTGTGAACTGTGACATCACAGCACTCTACCCAAGGTGACAGTTTGAGGTTCTATCTCAAAAATATGTATATATATACCATTCCAATGTGACTAATCTATTCAATCATAATAATAACTACATTTGAATAGTGCTTTACCTTGTATAAAACACATTCTATATATTTATTCATACCATAACCTAGTTAGGAAGGCAGGGAAGATTTAATTATTTTCAATTTGTTTATGAGGAGGAGAGAAGAGAAATGAATTGATGCTTAAAGAAGGAGCAAAGTGAAGACTTAGATGTAAGTTTATTAACAAGCTGTTGGGGCTGTTTCTACTAATTGAGCTCTGTATCATAACAAATCATAAGTTTTTTTCCTAAGTCTACAATGCTCCTTGAATTTATCAAGAAGAATGGTAAGCATTTGAGCATGTGACTTAAAATTCTTCAACTTTTCTTTTTTCTTTTCTTTTTTTTTGAGACATGGTCTCTCTCTGTTGCCCAAGCTAGAGTTCAACATCGCTCACTGCAACTTCAAACAAATGGGCTCAAGCATACCTCCTGCCTCAGCCTTCTGAATACCTGAGACTAAAGGCATATACCCCCATTGCTGGCTATTCCTTGCAAGAACAAGGTCTTGGTCTTCTTACTCAGGCTATCTCAAACTCCTGGCCTCCCCATATGCTAGGATTACAGGCTTGAGGCTCTGCACCTGGCCCTTCAACTTGTTTTCTTTTGTCCTGGTTTCTAGAAACTAGAACTAGATAATCCAAGTATCTAGAATAGCTCTCTAGATTTTTTTGTGTCCCACTCAATGACAGAGTGAGCAATAACTATATACCGGTACTGTCCCTCCTCCCCTTTCAAAAGCATCTAGGAATCTGTCCAGGAATCATTTCAGTATACTGGAGATCTATTATGGTGCTCCCATACGGTGCCCAACTTTTATGTTTCTGCCACCATTAGGCTGAGAGGATGCTCTTTGAGAGTTTTTATGTATGCGCAGAGTAAATTTATATTACCTTAGGGTTTTTTGTTTACTTATTTTCTTGATCTGGAATATTAATATTGATGCAAAGAAGGAAAACAAAATTAACCTATCATGTGCCCATCATTTAGCTACAATTGTCACACTTAATCTTTACAACATCCCCAACAATGTTATCCCCATTACCAGTAAGGGCATGGCTGGCATATGAACCATAGCTATTGGTACCTATGCTGTGATGAATATGACTTGGGAATCTTTTAGACATAGGAATCATATACCCTAATTTTTCACTGAGTTTCTGCTGTTTGATTAATTATCCTTTTTTAATTATTCCCCCTACCACTAGTTCTTAATATAATGCCCTGTAAAAATGGGACTTATGGATATTAAGTTTACAAAAAAGAATACACATACCAGTCTAATGGAAAAAACATGAGACTAGGATTTGGAATTCTAACACTTTATTTTCTGGTTATTATATGGCCCTGAAAAGGCACCTACAAGGAAAAGGTTCTGTGTCTCAGTTTCTCTATTAAAAAGGAAGATAACCTATTTTTGTCTCCCCTCCATTTCATAGAATTTTGGTATTAATTCATGTCACAGAGGAAATAATTTGAGTTCTTTGCATGATATATGCTGGGTGAATCAAAGTTCTTATCATTAGAAATAAGTATATTATTATGACCAAATGATTAGTTAAATAATGATGGCTTTTTAAAAAATATTTAATGCCTGATAATTCATGGTAGCTCATTCTTGCTGACTTCACTGTTTTAAGAACAAATATTTTGGTATGATTCATCATTATGTTTAGTAAAAGTCAAAATTATGTAGCTGAAAATAGTAAAAAAGACCTGAAATGACACTATTTCAGTTAGACAGAGATAGTAGAGTTAAAAATCTCTGGTTTTGATACATTTGGGGAAAAAATTGTGCTTCTTCTCTCATATTTCTCGGAGAAAAAATGCACCAGTATGAAGTATTAAGAGCTTATCTGACTGATGTGACAGGTAGCTCAGTTTTTATTTTGGATCCCAAGTCAAACACTGATTAATTCTACTCACTTTAATTGGTTCTAAGTTTCCCTTAGAAACTTTATGAATTGCATACTGAAAAAAGAAACAAAAAACTAGGGTATCATTTAGAGTTTTAAAATATCTAATGTTGCTTTTAGGTCTCTAAAGAACAGCAGAATAATTCCAGTACTTCTCAAATGAGGAGAGAATCTAGAAGAGGTCCAAGAGATATAACTAACACCCAAGCTCAAAGATTCCATTCACCTAAGAAAGATCCAGAAGACCAGACCACAGCCCCAAATAAGATAATTAATGTTACCTTGGATGTAAACCAGAAGAAACACCAAAAAATGAAACATGTGGTCACAGGTAAAGAGCAGGATAGTTTATATATGGCTCTCAATACTCTTGAGGCTGTCAGAGAAGAGATAGAAACTCACCAAGGCCAAGAAATGTTGGTATGTGGCAAAGAAGGAATTGAAGGGTTCATAAACCTTGGAATGCCCCTCAGGTGTTTTCCTGAAAGCTGCCACGTGGTAATTACATTTGCCCAAAGTAAAAATAAACAGGAAGAAAGTAACCAACTATTTGGCCGGAATGACAGGGCATCTACTGACTGTGTCAAATTTTACATTCATGCAATTGGAGCTGGAAAATGGAAAAAAACGATCGTTAAATGCGGGCAACTTCACAAAAAGGGGTACAAGCTCTGTGTCTATGCTTTCAAAGGAGAAACCATCAAGGATGCTCTCTGTAAGGATGGCAGATTTCTTTCCTTTCTGGAGAATGAGGATTGGAAACTCATTGAAAAACTGGACAGTTTTGTAGAAAGCAGTCAGCCAGTTGATGAATTAGAGGGCAAGCTCTTTCAGGTTGAGGTTATTAAAAGAATGAGCCCCAGGAAAGCAGCTGCTGAGAATTCTGAGTCAGAAGAAAGAAACACCTGTGTGTTGAGAGACTACATTGTAGACCAGTGTCCCAGTTTGAAAAAAGAAAGTGAAAAGATCAGAGAATATTTCAAGAAAAAAATGAAAAAAAGAAAGGGGAAAACATTATTTAAATTGCATAAAACATATTTTGGAAAAGTAACAAAAAACTCTGTTTCGGTTAAAGTAATGAAACGTCTTTCATGTCTCAGTGATTCAGTTGGGTACATATCATGGGATAACAATGGAAATATGGGTTCTGCCACCTGCTTTGTTTTGAAAGGCTTGTTCATTTTAACTTGTCAGCATGTAATAAGTTACATTGTGGGAGAAGGAATAGAGCCAAGTAGTTGGGCAGCCATAATTGGTCAATGTGTAAGGGTGACATTTAGTTATGAAGAGGACTCAGAGAAAGGAAAGAACTGCTTTTTTGTTGAACCCTGGTTTGAGATAGTGGATAAAACTCTTGACTATGCTGTCTTGAAGCTGAAGGAAAATGGACAAGAAGTACCTGTGCAACTATATAATGGAATTAGTCCTCTACCCTCTACTGGGTTGATACATATAATTGGCCACCCACAGGGAGAAATAAAGTTTCGTGATGCTTGTGCTGTGATCCCTCAGTGTCAGCGAGCAAAGAAATGTCAGGAACGAGCTGAGGCTACAAAAACAGAGAATGGTCAGTATGTCCATATGTTTACTCAGAGAAGTTTCAAGAAAATAGTTGACAACCCTGATGTGATTACCTATGACACCAGTTTTTTCTTTGGGGCTTCTGGATCCCCAGTGTTTGATTCGAAAGGTTCGTTGGTGGCCATGCATGCTGCTGGCTTCCATTATACCTACCAAAATGACATTCGTAGTATCATTGAGTTTGGCTCTAGTATGGAATCCATCATTGTTGATATTAAGCAGAGACATAAAACATGGTATGAAGATGTCTTTATAAGTCAGCAGGATGTGGAAATGATGAGTGATGAGGACTTGTGAGAATTCAGTCTGTGTGTTTTTATTAGCTTTAAGGGAGTTGTTATTTCACAGGCATTGATGACAGTTTTCTAAATTCAAAACTGGTCAATATCAAATAAAAAGTAATAATAATGAATGTTACTGACCCTTTCCTATGTCACAGGCATTTTCCTAAGCACATTTAGAAATTAGTCCTAACAACATAATGAGGTGGACTGTAACACCTTAAGTCAGTCAATGTGAAGAGGGATAAGGTTAAATAATAGTTTTATGACACTAAAAGTCTTAAAACCACTGGTACTTTCTCTTCTGTATCATTCCCTAAATTCATTTGCTATGTATGGGGCAGGAGCCAAAACCTGTTCATTTTATTATCTCCAATATCTGATACAGGGAAAGAAGTGCCTGAAAAACTTTGTGGAATAATCAAATTTGGAGCTACGGTAGGAGCTAAATGCTTGATTAGAAATTATCTCAAAATATTTTAGAATTCTCAAAATCTTCATATTACTAAACCTGTCAGAATTATTTGTCCTGAAATTCATGGAATCATATTCATTCTTTTTATAGTAGGATGAGGGGGAATATCTTAAAGATTGTACTTGACTCCTCCACCTCCTAAATGATTTTTTATTTGTGTTTATTAAGATTTATTCTTTGTGCTGTAAAATTCTATGACTACTATCATACAGAATAGTTTCATTACCCTAAAATATCTATGCTTCACCTACTTAATCCCTCCCTGAATCCCTAAAACCCTGAGAACCACTGATGCTTATAACTTTGCCTCTTCCAGAAACATTATATAATTGGGGTCATATGGTATCTAGCCTTTTCAGACTGGCTTCTTTCACTTGGAAATATGTGGTTAGAGTGCCTCTGTGTCTTTTTGTGGCTTGGTAGCTCATATCTTTTTATATAATATTCCATTGTATAAATATAACGTGATGTGTTTATTCATTCACCTTTTGAATGATAACTTACTAGCTTCCAGTTTTTGATGATTATGAATAAAGTTGCTATAAACATTCAATGTGTACAAGTTTTTGTATGAACATGAATTTTCAACTCATTTGGGTAAATACCTAAGAGCATAAGTGATGGCTTGTAAGATTGTGTTTAGCTTTGTAAGGGTCTGCCACTGCCTTCCAAAGTGACCCTACCATTTTGCATTTTCACCAGCAGTGAACGACTGTCCCCATTTCCACATCATCACCAGCATTTGGCTCATCAGTTTTCACAGGTCTCAGGCATACTGGTAAGTGTTGGAATGCTTGGGATTCTTAAGGGAATTCTGAGATTTATTAATGAAATGAGGCTTGGATGATCTAGCATATGTACACATAATTATGGTATCAACCCCTACCAGTCAGAAAAATAGAGCCACTATAAATATTACCGGAATAAGGTATTATATTAAGAATTGGGGGGGTTAATAAATATGAGAGGAGCAGAAAGACTGCAGCTGGAGGATGGATATGTCAGCATATAACATTGAAAAGAGGAGAGAAGTTGATGAATGATGTGGGACAGTCTGAAAAGATGCTGTGTCGTCACCACAATGGTACTAGAGTTCTACTATTTATCAGGAGGTTGTAAAGTACCTACATTAGATACAATGACTACCTTGGTGATGCTACTACTACCAAGGAGTGACAGTGACAAAATCGCTGAGACAGATCCTGACTTTGAACAGTGCCCTGGGAGCTGGGATGTGTATGTGCTTGTGGTTGGTGACTAGCACTGGCCACTGTATGGTCCATTGCTGGTTTCAGCATTGTGTCTTGTAACCTGTGTTAATGTAGTGATATTTGGATGCAGAGCTCCATGCTCTTCCCACAGGGACATTTTCAGAATCAAATGCATAGATTGTGAGGTGAGAAACCAACCAAAGAGTGGAATGTAGGGACAGATAAAAGTATCTGGGCTTCCTCACTCAGGGCCTTGGGCATGGGACAAGATGAAACTGGGCTTTCTTGTCCACACCCCCAGAGAGGTGTGCATGGAATAGAAGGCTCCTTGTGCTTTTATTGCAGTTTTTTGGCCAGGGCTGGGTTTGAACCCACCACCTCCAGTATATAGGGCCAGTGCCCTACTCCTTGAGCCACAGGCACCGCCCTAAGAAAACTCTCCTTGTGCTTTTAAAGAACCATAACTAGGTACAGTGATGCTTCTGCTGTAGCTGCTTGGCATGTTGCCACTTTTGTTCACCAGGGTATAAAGGTGGACAGGACCTACTCTTTGTGTGGACTACAGATGGTGGATGGCAGATTATGGATTGTGCATTGTAGACTGTCTATGGAGCCCAGCTCTCCAGCCACCAGTAAAATCCTGTGTCTAAAAATCGTTTTTTAAAAATTAGCCAAGCATAGTAGCACATACCTGTATTCCCACAAACTCAGGAGGCTGAGGCAGGAGGATCACTTGAGCCCAAGAGTTCGAGGCTGCACCCAATGATTGTACCACTGCACTCTAGCCTGGGCAACAGAGTGAGACCCTGTTGTAATCAGTTCCGTGAACAAACAAAATAACACCCCCTCTCCATATACACTTTCCCTGTATTTTTTGCATGCTTTGGATGTCCAAGCTTCTGGCACTCAATAACCAGAACGTTATTATTTTTCTGTTTAACTGAGCTCTTACCTTTTGAGTTATCTCCCAGAAACAGCAGACTCTTCACAAGATAATAATGCTAAACTCAGGCTCAGCACCCATAGCTCAGTGGTTAGGGCACCAGACACATACTGAGGCTGGTGGGTTTGAACCCAGCCTGGGCCTACTAAACAACAATGACAACTGCAACAAAAATACAGCCAAGTGTCCTGGCGGGTGACCATAGTCCCAGCTATTGGGAGGCTGAGGCAAGAGAATTACTTAAACCCAGTGAAACTCTGTCTCAAAAAAAAAAAAAAAAAAATTCTAAACTGAGCATCCATCACCAACTGTGACTTCTGAATAAGACCTCCTGCACACATTGCTTTCAACACAACCTGCCCCAATACATATGGCCACCATCCATAGCTAACTTGTGACTTATGAATTAGACCTCCCCTACACCTTCTTTCAACACAACCTATCCCAACATACATACCTTCCCGAACCCCCTACCCTCAGTTGGTCAGGGAGACAGATTTGAGGCATTTCTCTCCATCTCCCAGATGACATCATCTGTAATAAATTACTTTTTTTCCTTGGCAATCCTCATCTCAATAACTGGTTTTCTGTTCAACAAGAAATTGGACCTAGGCCAGATCCCCCTTATGGACTTGTAACATCTCAAAAAAAAAAAAAAAGAAGAAGAAGAAGAAGAAGAAGAAGAAGAGAAATAAGAGGAAGAAGGAGGAGGTGGGAAGAAAGAAGAAGTAGAATAATCAGAGGTCAGTGATTAGATTCTCTATTTTCATTTAGTTTTTACTGTTTAAGTTTGATCTTATAATTCATTTCCAATGCCAATCTCTCACACATGGGAATGACTATGTAAAAATCATGCAGGAAAGGGATGTAACCTAATGGAAAAAGTAATAAAGCATTTGAGTTTTGATCCTCACTCCACTCATTGGTAATAAATGGATAAAATAATAAATTTTTCTTCTGTGCCATCTTCAACCCTTAGTAGCATATTTGTCATTCATCTTTTATTCCATTCTTGGAAAGAAAAATGCCAGTAAAATTAAAGTTGTTTATCATCAGCAATAACATTTCTGTGGTCTGATTGTGTTTCCCCCAAATTCATATGTTGAAGCCTAATCTCTAATATGACAGTACTAAGAGGTAGGGCCTTCTGCAGGTGATTAAGTCATGAGGGCTCCACCACCATGAATGGGATTAATGCCTTATAAAGGAGGCTTCAACTGGTTAGCCCTCATTCCACCAAGAAAGGATAGAGGTAGAAGGTGCCATGTATGAGGAACTAACACTCACCAGACACAGAAACTGCTGACACCTTGATCTTGGACTTCCCAGCCTCCAGAATTGTGGGAAACAAATTTCTGTAGTTTATAAGCTTCCCAGTCTATGGTCTTTTCTTGCAGCAGGTGGAACAGACTAAAATAAACATGATATTATGCTTACATGGCTAGCCAACTAATTTTTCAAAATTCTTTTTAGAAGAAATATAGGTCCTTATGAGATAGATGAGGGATAGAAGATTCCCTGGGATCTGGTAGCAAATTCTGTCACCCAATTGATGAGCACAGTGGGGGTGAAGGTGGGGAGATTAAGGGCCCCCACTGACCTATCTGTTAAGGAGTCTAAAGAGTCAGAGGTAGATTTGAAACAAGCCACCCAAATGATTCCTTAATTATTACTCTTGGTAATCCCTTCTGTGCTGGGGCAGGAAGAGATGTCGTCAAGGCAATGAGGCAGCAAACCCCATGGGTCAGCAAAAAACAATGTGGCTATTGCAACTGAATGACTAATTCCGGAAGCTGAAATAAATGAGGTCAGCGAAAAGGATCATACTGCCCAATACATAATTTTGGGATGAACTAAAATATTAGAAATTCATTTGGTTGAATCATAACTACCCATTTGAAACTGAATGCAAATGCTTGTAGCTACTTTCATCTCCGTTTGTACCACTTGATCCTTCTCCTCCCCCCTACCTCAACCTCAGCTGCTTTTGGAGAAGACAATAAGAGATGAGACTGAGATCTCTCTGCTCTCAAAGAGGACAAAGGCCAGGCACACCCATGACCATAGGATGAGGAAATTCAGACAGAGAAGAGCTCAAACTCATGCCTCTGTTGAAGTCAGACACCTGACACTGCCCGACCGGCAGGCGGTGTCGGGGAGTTCGTGATCGGCGTATGAGAGGGAGAAGGAAAGGGAAAGGGTGAACACAATCACACAACCACTCATACAGTATAGGGAGAAGGCTGAGCCGAAGCTGTTTATTTGGGATCCATACAATCTTATATATGGTTAGTACAGGGGGAGTGGTTATGCTGTTCTGACGGGAGGGGCCCTGCGCTGTGCTCTGCGTTTCTGTCTCAGTCTTATACAATGTAGCTAGTTCTATCCTGTTTACTTACCAGCACTGGTCTCTTTATTCGCCTTTTCACGTGGGGGTTGAATTAGGCTAGCACTTCCTCTTACGATGTAGTTTAATATTTCTGTTAACCCTTACAGACACCCAAGTCACCATCCTGCCCTGTCCCGTAAGAGGATGAGATGATGGGCACAGGAGGGGCCAGAGGCACCAAGCATGGAGGGAAGAAGCTGAGGCAGCATGCATAGGGGCGGAACAGGTCTTAGGGTTTGAATGTTCATCAGACACTGAGAGGTACATGGGAGAGGACCTGACACTGGTGCTCGGATTCTGAGCTTGGAGCAAAGAGGTAAAGGAGGGAAAGAGGCTAAGAGCTAAGTATTCCTCCGTCTAACTCCGCTGCCCTCCTTCCCCCACCCCCCTAGATTTTCTTTCCCTTCCACCCTGAACTTTCCTGGGGTCCTGAACAGGAGTAATTCTCGTAGCCTCTGATTTTCATTGTGCTCCTATAGAGGGAAAGCAACCGAATTCAACTGATGGAATGTAGGCAAGAGGTGCAATGGAGAAGGAAGGCTAAAGTAACCCTGTGAATGGGGCTCTTTGCCGGGGAGGCAAAGTGCTGTTGTGAAACAATGTGTTGTGAGCCTACACTTCCCTATCTCACTCTATTCAGCAACTGCCTCACATCAGACATATAGAGAGTCTCCCACCCTGTTTCCCTGTACTCTCTAGATAGTCTGGAAAAAAACAAGAAAGAATCCACAAAATCGAGTGGTAAAACCTATCCTTGGTAAAAGACAGAAAGGCAGCCAAAGTACTCAGGGAGGCCATTTCATAGTACAACGTCGCCCCCTGCTGGAGACAGACAC